CAGTACATACTCCTATATCAAACATCATTCAGGACAGATTAAGAGATCAGTATTTATGGGGTACTCATTATACATAGAACATGTCACTATCTCCAGCTTTGGGAATTTTAATATACATAATATACCCCACATTTCACAATAACTTTAAAAAAAAAATACAGCCAAATTTTGTGGACTGTGGTCCAAAAGTTGAAAAGTTCAGAAACAAGACAAACAAAATGTAGAATTGTCCAAAGCCTTTGTGGCTAACAAGTCCGAAGGATGTTGGTAATTGGTAGTTTCAGTGGTTGCCCATAGAAACAGTCCAAAGCAGGTGTGGCAATCTATAGCCTGCAAGACAAATCTAGCCCATCATGTGTTTTCTGTACAGCCTGTGATCTAAGAATTGTTTTTACATTTTCAAATGTTTGGTAGGGGGAATCAGAAGAGTAAAAGTTCATATTGCATTAAAGTTATATGGAATTCAAGTTTCAGTGTCCTTAACAAGGTTTTGTTACAACACAGCTACACTCATTCAGGTTTTACCAATGGCTGGTTTTTTGCTACAACACCAAGGTTGAGTAATTGTGTTGGAGACTACGTGGTCACAAAACCTAAATATTTACTAACCAGCTCTTTAGATAAGATTAACAACCCCTAGGCTAGAACTTTAAAAGCAGGAGAAAACCCCTATGCAGAAATAGAAACCTCTCTTCATGCATTTATGTACTGCAGTAGCTTTGTACTGAAAACAACTATAGATTCTAGTAGCTGATCTAAGTGATGGCTGTTGGCTGGTAACGCCCAAAGTGAAATTAGAATGATGCCGGGGGAACGAAACGTGGAAACTCATAAGAGAAACACTTGACTTTTTAAAAAATGAGAAAGGGGCTTGAAAAATCAATTTCTAGGAGAAATACAAATTGATAAAAATATAAATATATATATATATGTCACTAATAAGCAAATAAATTTATATTTAAATAATGGGTTTTTTTCACCTATAAGTTTAGAATTGATTTAAAAGATTTTAATAACAGTGCGGAATCTCACTCAGTGAAACTGCAAACTGGTACGATCTTTCTGGAAACCTATTTGAAAATACCATTCAACATTTTGATGCATAGCTTTTGATCCAGCATTACACTTCTAGAACGCTTTCTACAAATATGTTGGAACAAATGCACAAAAACGTACAGGCATATACGTGCTCTACAGTATTGTTTTTTAAAAAACTGGAAAAATATACCTATCATTAATGGCTTAACTACACTATGGTTAACTTTATATAGTATAACCTTTTCAAAAAATTAAGGAAGTTATCATGTACTAACGTAAAATAAAACAAAAATCCCGTAAGTCAATAAATGTAAATTTGCGTATTTTCACACATACTGGTATGTCTATGTGGGAGGGGATTAACTTTCATTTTCTACTATATACACGTCTATATCTGAATTCTTTAAACTTGTTTTCCTTTTACGATGAAAATATAAAATTGGATATTCATATAAATGTTTTAGATAATACTGTAAATGCATTGCCCAATTCCAGGTACACGCAGAGGTTTTACAATATTGAATTTAATTACAGACACAGACCATTACATTTAATGTTAAATTGCATAACTTATTTTAGCTTGCTATTATGGCTTTCACTTTCGGTTAATCCAGTGTGGAAATTTTTTAAAATTTCATATAATCTAAGAAAGTACCATGTTATACATTGAAGGGAAGTAAAAGGCTCTTCTATGAGAACAGAAATTCCTACTTTGACTTTCATTCCAAACAACAAAAGCAAATACTTCCTCATCTTTTCAGATATTGATTATAGTTACTAGTTAGCACATTAATAGGAATCTTTAGACTGTTAAGTCTGATCCAAAGGAAAATTCCAAAGGAGACTACAAATGGAAAAAGTACTTTATTACCATTTGGCAGGCTTCTAGTTTCTAATTTCTATTATATCTTCTTTGATTCTCTCCTGATTATATTTCTTTGAACCATTTGTATTTTTAACCTTACACGTGGAAGCAAGAAGTTTCACGAGTTCATTCACTTTACAGTTGTTTGTTTCTTCTCATTTATCAGTTGGTCATATCCAGCTCAAAAACTCTAAAATTTAGTAAACAACTCCATGTTCACTCCATCTGTGGTTCTTAACAGTCAGGAAAGTTAGGCAGGTTCTAAGCATGGGCTCTGGAACCAGATTATGTGGGTTTGCAGTGGGCTTAGGCTGCACAGCTTTGGGAGAATTGCTTAACTTTCGCATTTCAATTTTCTCATCTGTAAAATGGAACTGATCTCTGAGGATTGTTGTAAGCATTAAATAAGATCATACTTTCCCTTAGAACAGCACAGCTGGTGTGATTTTATAAATCACTATATTCCCTTTGAACCTGATAGGATTTTAAATGTTTAGTTTATTCCCATTTGGCAGGCTCCTAATTTCTGGGAATTCTTCCCTCCTGTCTTTCATGAGCTATACTCACAGTTGTACCTGGTATTCCACTTTTCTTTTAATTTCATTTAAAAAGAGATATACTAACAGCTGTCATGTGACAGGCCTTAATTCTCCACATTTGGTGAATAATCACGCTTTTTATCCCCTTAACACAATATAGCAGATACTATTATTTTCATTGTAAAGATGAGGCAGTGGTTTCATAGAAAGCATAAATAATTTGCTCAAGAAAAGTAACAGTTGGAATAAGGAATTGAACTCCTGCACTCTGGCTCCTGAGGTAGGCAGCGCTCCTATCTGCTCTGCTGGGCAGCCTTTCAGAGGGCACAGGGCAAAAGACCTCCCCTGGGGGGCATAGGAACTGGTGAGAACAAAGGAAAAGTTGGCTAATACATATTAAGCACATAGACATATGGGGATGAGTGATCTGTTGAATATTTACTATGGTCAAACATTTTGAAACCTACCACATTTAAAAGAACACGCTTTCATAACTATAGAAATGGGTACTATACAAGTTCCTGTTTTGAAAGCTTCCCACAATTCAGCATTTTGAAACTTGACCAAAACGTGATTTCCAGTTTTCATATTATAAAATTATCTTGTACAGCATTTCCCTTGTTTAAACTGAAACTATTCCAATCCTTCATCTAGATAACATATTTGGTGTTGTCAGGAAATTTACACATTATATAGGTCAAATCCCTCTACTTGAAAAATAAAAAAAAGTTTGCTCGTTTTTACTCTCTACGGAAGCAAACAAAAAGACAGATGATTAAATTATGTTCCATTACATTAATAAAATGCAATAATCTGTATTTCCAAGAATCAATTTGAGTTAAACACGTATTTTTCAAACTGTGTTACCACTGGTGGTTCAAACCAAAATTATCAGGCATATTCTTGCCTCAAACTTAAAAATATCCAGTGGGTTATGGAATTTTATTCGCAGAATCCCAAGCCATCAAAAAATTCTCGATCAACCCAACCCCACAGTCTACTCCTACTCTGTGGTAAAAACCTGTGGCAAAAAATATGAAGTGAAACTCACCGTGGAGAACTCTACATTCCCTCATAAAATCTCTAAATTCCTTCTTTCCCTTTACCTATCTGGCAAGAAAACATTTCTGTCATAGATTTTCTGTACACAAAAGCAGCAATTATACCCTTTCAAACTTGAAGAGAATTTAAAATAAAATTCTGTAGACCTTGGCCCAAGACTAATTGATGAAATTCCTGAAGTCTTTGGCGCTTTGCATACAGCATCAAATGCAGAAGAGATTTCTAAAAATGATTTTCTAATAAGTGAGGTGGTATATCTCCATTTACTTCTGTAATTCACTCACTGTAGCAGTAAGTTGTTAACATTTTTTAGTGTTTCATATATTGCCAGCACTATTTTAGGCACTCATTTCATCCTCTCAGCAAGGCTATGAAATATATATTATTATTAAACCCATTACACAGATGAGGATACTGTGGCACAGGGCTACTCAATTATTTGTCTAAGACCTAGTACCCAATAATGGGTTGACCTGGGATTCTAACCCCAAAAGTCTGGGTCTATTAGCTCTTAACTCTCAGCAAATATGTTATTTTCTTAGAGACCAAAAGACCAAAAGACTCAGGTAAGTGTCTGTAGATATTACGGGTCATCCTAATGAACACAAATTTCTGGAAAAACAGTCTACAAGGAAGAAGGTGATGATTCTATCTGATTTTAGTCACTCTCCCACTTGGTTGTAATTTGGGGCTATTTTCTCTATCTTTCTGACTCCTATTACTACAATATATGAGACACTCAAAAGTAAAGAAGCTGGAGGAAAGTTACTAAATGAGAATACATAAAGATAAATAACTACAACTAAACTAATTTATGCAAGTCTGCACATAAATTTGAAATATATAAGTTAAAAAATCCTCTGAAGGTTTGAATATGAAGAGGTTCTGCTAGATCACATTACACATGTGAAAATGAGGAAGGAAATACAGTATAAGAAAACAGAAGGACATTTGCTGCCCATGTACTTCATGAGCTGATCTAAGTCTGCCTCAGTCAGAAGACACTGAGCTGAGTATCTTTCCAAACAAAGGTAAATTTTAATTTTTATTATAAATGGGCTTGTTTATAAAAGACAGAATATGTTTGAGGGGGAAAATACTTCAAGGTTAACATTCTACAAACCACAGACTATGAGCATAAAAAATTATATAATGCACAGCAATCTGACATGAATTATTAGCTCTCAAATGGGGTTTTGTTTATTGCCACAGTAAAAGTAGCACTTGTGAATGGGGTAGAACCTGTTATTTGGTTTTCACAAGAGTGCAAAAGTAATGGTATTATTACAAGTACCAAAATGTATTACGTACTTTAAAAATTCTAGACAGAAACGTGTGCCTTCTCAACCAATCTACTGAATGTAATGATGCTAATATGTAAGATGATATAAGGTGTTAACAAGCTAGAAGGCTAAAGTCTGTTTTTTAAAAGCGGCATTTTAAAATCGTGAAATGCTTCATTCTACTTTGTGTATATGTTTATTTGCAATAGTTTACACTGGAAACCATGAACGCCTCCGTGATGAAGGGCTTCAATGGGTCCGAGCGGTGCCCCAGAGACACAAGAATAGCACAGCTGGTGTTCCCAGCCATCTACACTCTCATTTTCTTCACCGGCGTACACTTTGGCCCTGTGGGTGTTTGTACACATCTCCAGTTCCTCCACCTTCATTGTCTACCTCAAAAACACTTTAGTGGCCGACTTAATAATGACACTCATGCTTCCATTTAAAATTCTCTCTGATTCACACCTTGGACCCTGGCAACTCAGAGCCTTTGTGTGTCGCTTCTCTGCTGTCATCTTTTATGAAGCCATGTATGTGGGCATCATACTGCTAGGCCTCATAGCCTTTGACAGATTCCTCAAGATCATTAGACCTTTTGGAAAATTTTTTGTACAAAAACCTGCGTTTGCAAAAACGGTTTCAATGCTTGTCTGGCTCTTTCTGTTCCTCATCTCTTTACCAAATATAATCTTGAGCAACAAGGAAGCAACACCATCATCTGTGAAAAAGTGTGCTTCCTTAAAGGGTCCTTTGGGGCTGAAATGGCATCAAGGGGTGAATTATATATCCCAATTCATTTTCTGGACTGTTTTTGCCCTAATGCTCCTGTTTTATGTGGTGATTGCAAAAAAAGTATACAATTCCTATAGAAAGTCGAAAAGCAAGGACAGCAAAAACAACAAAAAGCTGGAAAGTAAAGTATTTATCGTCGTGGCTGTCTTCTTCGTGTGTTTTGCTCCATTTCATTTTGCCAGAGTTCCATATACTCACAGTCAAACAAGCAATAAGACTGAATGCAGACTGCAAAATCAACTGTTTATAGCTAAAGAAACGACTCTCTTTTTGGCAGCAATGAACATTTGTATGGATCCCTTAATATACATTTTTTTATGCAAAAAATTCACAAAAAGGCTATTATGCATAAGAGGGAGAAAGACCACAGCATCACCCCAAGAGAATCATACTAGTCAGACAGACAATATAACCTTAAATTAATGACTTTATCATGGTTAACTTCTACTTATGGACTAGACTTCAAAAAAGAATTTATTTGGAAATTAAATTTAAGCAATAAAAAAAGACTGAAACAAATGCTTTCTTACATTTTGTTATCCTAGTGTACAGAAATTTTAATTCCACATAGAGCTATTCACAAACAAAATGAAGTATCATTAAAAGTCTGCATCAGAAAGTTAATGGCCACTAGAGGTCATCTTTTCATTTACTTCAATTTTAGAGATTTATTATGGATAAGCGTATATTCCTAAAAACCTCTCCTCTAAAACACCTTCTCACATTCTTTTACACATGTAATTCAAACAACACTACTGTTTTTGTATCTCACTCCTGCTGATAAAAAATCCTTTGGTGAAAGTTGAAGCTAAGGATTGAAAGGGACACTGGATATGAAGAGCCAGGGGAGCTGAATGCTGTCAGAAAGTTCTCTGATAACCCAAATGAAGGAATTTCTCCTTACAATTACAAAGTGCCTCTTCCACATTATTCCAATACACCATAAGAGGCACAAGCACAACTATTAAGTACTGTAATTATTGTACTGTAGTACTTTGCTTACATCCCAAATGTGTACAATTCAAGGCCAAGAATACTATATCCTTCTTTGGAATTCTCCCTCTCCAACAAATACTCTAATAATGGTTGAACATGCCACCTACTCGACAAAGCCTTCCTGGGCCATGATCTCTATCCTCTTTGCCTCATACCTCTGGTTGAAAATAACTACTTCTCCTACGGTTTGGGTGGCTATTAGGACACTTGTTGCAGATTACTCTTCACTGTTGCGCTATATTCTTGACTACAGCCACCCCCCCAACCCCGCCCCCGAATGGTTAGGAGTCTTTAAGACAGACGACATGCTTTGAAGACAGAAAGCATGTTATGTTTTTTGGGTATCTCCCACAGACTACCTGTTACAAATGTTTTAAACAGAATATATCAATATTATGCTATTCTTGGTACATATATAGATGGAACTGCTGATTCACATTCAGTAACATCAATACTGGCAAATTTTTCAAATTATTTACCTCTATATTTTTCCCTGAATCCCTTTCTGGTTAAAAAAAAAAAAAAAAAACCCTACAATATGGTTATCTGGAATTGTGGACACTGACTTACATCTTTTAGAGAAAATGTACAAAGGAGTAGTCGTGCTCTGTAAATGTGCCTCTAGCTTCAACATCATCATCATAATGTGAAGCCCAGGCCTCTTTCCATGCCCTTATAGCAGCGGTCCCCAACCTTTTTGGCACCAGAGACTGGTGCTCCTATGAGAATCCAATGTCGATGATCTGAGGTGGAGCCAAGGCACTAGCACCAGGGAGAAGCTGCAAATACAGATGAAGCTTCGCTCACTTGCCTACTGCTCACCTCCTGCCGTGTGGCCCGGCAGGCCACGGGACTGGTACAGGTCTGTGATCCAGGGTTTAGGGACTCCTGCCTTAAAGGCCCTGAAGGCCCTGGAACTTACTCACCTTTCTGGCCTTATCTCCTAACTACTCTTCCATCCCTGAAACTTTATACTCTCCTATAAATTGGTAACTGTCAGAACATTGCATGCCCTGTACCATGCCCTGTAAATTTCTCTCCGACTCACCAAGAAAACTCTTATCCATCCATGAAACCCTAAGTTGCCATCATTTAGTCCACGAAATCTCATCTAGCCAACCTCCTACCACCATCTCAAGCCCAATCACTTCTTCATCTGTCATACCTCAATTATTGTAATTATCATACTCCTTTATAATACTTGCTCACACATGTACCTATCTTTTTAATCTACGTATACTTCTGAGGCCAGAGATTGTGTCTCATTGTGCGATCAATAAATATTTGATAAATAAACCAAACTGGTTTTATCTTTACCTACTAAAAAAGAAAAAGGGAAGTCAATTCTCACTGACGTTTTTACATCAAAAGATATAAATTTTTTTGACAGCTCAAGCTCTTTTCAGTTGCCTTCCTATAGCATGTACACAGGGGCCTGGGAAGTGGAGGCATTCTTGGGTTTTCTAGTAATGCTCATGAGGAAGCAGGATTACCAAACAGTACATGTAATAGCTTGCGGGCTAACGTCTGTCAACATTTAAGTTTTAAAGCTATTGACAAAATGCTTTAGCTATGTATTGCTGGTTTTAGTTAAGCAAAATTTGTAACTGTAGCATATTACGATCCCCAAAACTCTCTTTTTAGAAAGTACTCTTGATGTCCAATTTTCATTCTCTCAAATAAAAGAATTAAGTCACGAGAACTGTTAGTGATGTCACTAAATCCACATTTTTACTGAGTACACAATCATGAGCAGACTCTAATACTGTATTATAAGTAACTGCATCTAGATAATGTATGCAATTTTTAGAAAGACCTTTCAAGACAAAATTTCAAGAGCAAACCTGTCCTCTATAAATACAAATATTTAATTCTATATTAATATTATAGTCAAAAGCAGAGTACCTGGTTTATAGAAAGAAATAATCTAATAAGAACTTATAGCCATCTTAAAATCACACACACAAAATGCAAAGCGACTATCTGAGAACTTCCCAAACTAGCGATCACAAATACTAAATTCTAGAATACTTATAAAATGAGATGCTATATATAAACCATAGCCATTAATGACACACAGAAGAGAATTTTTTTTAAAAAGCTTCGATATACTGTGTGAGCTCAGAACACAAGTAAGAGCTTTTGTCAAAAGTTAAATGTAATTAATTTTACTAGATAAGGTATTTTGAATATCTCTGGGGCTGGAGAAGATTTTGTCCCATACTGAAGAATTACTGAGAAACCAAGGAAAATTACTGTAAAGAAGAAAAGAAGAACAGATAAGTAATGTCAACTCCCAACTCACAAAAGTCAGATGGCTGATATAAAGTCATTACTTCAGAACCTGTAAAAGAATTCAATCTTATTAAACTGATTACTTCACATATTCCACATCCATTTAAAAGCAATTCCTTCCATAACTTTCTAGACTCCTTTTTACAACTGTCTGACCATTATCCTCCCCCTACCCCACCCTTAAACTGTATTCCTCCAGCAAGTTAAAAGATCAAAGTTCACAGGAATCTTAACAGAACAAAAGCTCCCAAGGGGGAGAACCCACTCCCAGCAGCATCTAATATCTCTGAAAATGCATGTTTAGAAGACAATAGACCTACTGAGAAAAGTTTAAAATTCACAAATCATTTGAAGTGCCAAGAAGCAAATCTCAGCATTTTAAATTTTACAAGAAAACCAAATGTATGTAAAATGAACATAGAACACATGTGTTCCAATCAGTAGTCCTCAAACTTCAGTGGGTATCAGAACCAGCGGGTGCGGTTCTTAAAAGACAGACTGCTAGGCCCAGCCCCAGAGTTTCTGTTTCAGTAGGTCTGGGGTGAGGCCCCAGAACAAGTTTTCAGGGGACACTGATGCTATCGATCTAGACCACAGGTTTAAAAACCACTGTGCTAAAATGTTCCTTGAGGTTCACGCTTCCATCAAGAGTGATTCACAACACAGCCTTCTTGGACAAAGATGCCCAAGAGTGGCGTCTGGCAACAGGAGACAAACAAAATTGTTATTATGAGAGTAGGGCAGATATAAAGTGACAGGCAATGGCAAGGACTAAAAGTTCACACCTCACTAAGGGGGCATCTACTAGTCAGTGCCAACAGTTGGCGCAGGAGAGATTTAGTGCCCAGGGCAGCTGGCTAGTAGCAACAGCAACAGTAAAACCTGCATCAGTAACAACAAAAGCAGACCACATTACTTACTACTTACTGTATACTTAGAGCTTTAAATAAATTGTCCCACTTAATAATCCCGGGAATTCTAGGAAGTGCTATCATTATTTCCATTTTAGAAATAAAAACTGAGAAACAGAGGTTAAGCAACTTGCATAGGGTCACACAGTTTAAATAGCAGGGGTAGGACTATAATTCAGAATCTGGTTTCTGAATCCATATTCTTAAACACTGTATTTATAACCTCCGATCTTCTAACGTTCTCACATGAATTCATAATTCCAGACTCCTATGCTATATTTCCTGTTATTTCCAAAACTTCCATAGCCACCCCACATTCCCTGACCCCACAAAAACAATACAATATTCATGTGTAGGCCATAACTAGCCCAGGTGAGGCCAGCTCATTAGCCCTGACCTAGAAGCTAACGAGAACCTCCCGGGACCTCACACTGGCAGCTCAGACTTATTTACTGAATGCTTGCTATGTGCCAGGCACAGCGCTATGTGCTTTACAAGGATTACTGCCTTTCTCTTTTTCACCAAAACCCAATGAGACAGGTAATATAAGGCTCCCTGTTGACGGAGGGGAGAAGGGGGGAACCAAAGCACAAAGTGAAAGATACCTTGCCCATAGTACACATGACCCCACCAGCAAAGGAGAGGCAGAGCTGGGACTGAAATCCAGGCAGGTGGCCTCAAGATCAACACCTCAATGGCTCTGCCACACTGCCTCTCTGACAGTCAGGAAAAGCCAAATTCCTCAAGGGCTGCCATCAGATCCCAGGAGTAGGAAGGTGACTCCTGAAAAGGGAGGGAGAGGTCTCAACATAAACCTCAGGGGTATGGATGGCTCAACCATGACATGAACTCTACGAATACTGTGGTGGTTCCTTCACACCTGAGAATCCCCGAGAGGGGTAAAATCCCAAAGAGCAGATACATGCGTTGATTTAGTCAGTCATTCCTTCATTGTACACTTGAGTGCAGGGCCCTTTGTCTCCCTGGAAGCCACACACTGGTAAGGCACACAGACCATAAGGAACGCAAATGTGGTAAGCAGTATGAGAGACATAAATACCTCACCTTGGAAGCTCAGAGGAAAGGGCAGCTAACTGCAAATGGCAAAACTAGGAGGGGCTCGCAGAAGATAGAAATGGGGTATGGAACCTTTAAGGTTCAGTTCAGGAGAAAACAGCATTCAAAAGGGAACTGCTGTGCAATGAGCACTTCCAAGGAAGG